GTACTCCTTGTTGTTGTTGTTGTGGTACTCCTTGTTGTTGTTGTTGTTGTTGTGGTACTGCTGGTTGTTGTTGTTGTTGTAGTGCTACTCGTTGTTGTTGTTATTGTTGTTGTGATGGTTGTTGTTGTCGTGGTACTACTAGTTGTTGTTGTTGTAGCTATTGTTGTAATACCAGTTGTTGTTGTCGTAGCGGTGGTGGCAGTATTAGTTGCTATCATAGTGGTTGTCGTAATACCAGTTGTTGTTGTTGTCGTAGTGGTTGTAATGGACTGAGGTGTTGCTGTAACTGTCATAATGCTCTGATATGTTATCGCAGTTGTTGTGGTGTTGCGAGCTGGTATCCCATAAAAATATAAGAATACATTAGGAGTCCACTTGATTGTGTAGTTTGGTGAATTGTTAGTGTAGAAGACACATGACGAAGAACTTAGATAACAATTCATTGCAACAAAGGTCAAATTTTGAACGATCGCAGCACATAGACACTGTTGGCAAGTACTGCTAGATATATTCACAGAAGCAATCGAGTTCATAGGCATTGGAATATATAATGCGTTGACTATGCTTCCGATCAATATCGAGTCAACATTTGACGAGAAAATAAGGAAAATTGCTATCGTGATCATCCAAGCGCGGGATGTCATATAATGCATGTGTTTTCACTTGTCGCTTTTCCTAAAATGATATTTTCTATTGAAAGGATTCTATTAGTTAAATCAATCAATGGGTATTTTCAGCGTTATGATAAGCATTTCTTTCTTCGTCGAGTCAGTTGTTTTGAATTATAACACTATGTAAACATCATTGTAACCATTTAACGATATTTAATGAGAAATTGAAACAAAACACTTATGTAAAAGATGATTGGAATAACTGTAACAATTGTTTATCTTTATGACAATAATTAAAACAAAACATATGCCACAAATATTGATGAATAGATAGAGTAGTTCGGTATATTTAATCTAGGAGATGAATTTAAACAATATCTAGAATTTGAAATTTGATAGCAGACCACAAACTATTACAGACATCTACAAACAATACATAGTTCGAAATAAATAGTCTTTAAAACATTTCATTTCGAGAGGAAAATTTCAAGTGTTAAATAATCAATAAGACAATCTTTAATTATATGTAAACATTTGAGATCTAAAATGGAATATTTCTACATACTGATTAGATTGTATTTGTCAATGAAATCGTTGCTCGTGAGAATTTGATGGAAATGGATACAGAATTAGTTACTGTTGAAATTCTTTTAAAAAGTATTTTGGAATAATGAGTTATTCTTATAAGAGTCGTGGAAATGAATAAACGGTGGATTGATATCCAAAAATAGCTGAAGAGCTATTTAAACAGTCTTCCGCTCTTTTTTTTTAAATTATTATTCAAGAACAGAGGCGTAAAAGCAATGAAAAACGGACGATTACTCATTCATGGATATTTCATTAGTAATTGTCTTATACGGTTTTAGGTTGTTCTCATTATAGTGAGGGTGTCAGTATGTGAGCATATGAGTTGTGAGTATTTTTTTATTATCCCTCACCTACACTCATCCTAAAATCGTTTTTATATCGATTGACATGTATACTATAAAAACAGTCAGAATTTTATAGGATATTATTCGAATACTGTCGTCCAGGTAGATTATTTGAATCGTAGCTGGAAAAAGGGCGGAAAATCTGTGACGAAACCGGTACAGAAATTTCGGATCTGAAATCCGTCGAATAAGATGTAAGATCCAACCGTGTTCCTAACTGCTCTGGGTACTATTCATCACAAGAATAAAAAAGTAAATATAGATGTTATATGATTACGTTACTTTCCGTGCATGATATAAACGTCCTTGAATGCCTTTTCAAACTCTCATCTCCTTTTGAGAAAATATTTTTATAATGAGCAGGAAAGTATTTAACACTTATCCGCGCTTCCCGAGACATAATTAAATACAACTCTGTTTGTTTCTAATCTATATTAATCAATCATAAAATAGTATGCTTTACTCAACATGTAATTTAACGCAGCGAACAAACTTCTTTTTTTTATTTTCTCTTCGGTCATCTTTGTTTAGTCTGTTAATAATGTAAAAAGAATCTACTGTCGTTTGATGACGTATGGCTGCTATATAAACAAATACGGAAAGCATTCATCAGCAACAACTCAGTGAATATCTTTCACTTCAAAATTCTATGCAGTAATTCTTCCGTTATCTCTTCATTTTAAAGTATGAGAAAAGACATCCATACGTCACTGAAAACAATTAGTTTCTGTATGAATATAGTTCATGCATTTCTAAAAACCATAACTGAATATATTAAGTCGATTTTCTTCTTTAGGTAGTAAGAAAAAAGCGATATCCACACTACTCAACGATCTTGCCTCTCGTCTTCCTAGGTTCTTGATTTTCTTAATAATCAGACAATATTGTTACCTAAAAAATCAGGTTCGAACATCCTTGTAGTATTCTTGTACACAGAAGCTTGTTTGATGAACTAAGAAACGTCTCATCATGCAAGATTCTTTTCTGATTTGGTTTTTTTCTTGAACCTAACATGTTTATTTAAAAACCAATAAATAAAGAAATGATCTATTTACATAAAAATAATGAAAAAAAAATATTAAAACAATTTTATTTACATAAAAGTTACGAAAAGAAAATAATCAAAATATTTTATTTATATTAAAAAAAACTCCTACGTATTACTAAAGTTCGTCTATAAATCAGTAGATCGTCGAAATACTTTTCGACTCTTATTGTAATTTGGAAGACGATATTTACGATTAGTATTGGTAATAAATGAAAATGTTGTATATGAAGTAGATATATTAGATTGATATCTATGATCAAAATAAATATTTGAATCATAAACTACAAATTCTTTTTTAATTTTTAAAGGTGGAAAATTATTATCTGTCAAATATTGAATCATATAATCATTTATTCCAAATGCATATATTCTTCCAACATCAAATAATCTCATTGTAACAAAATAATATATTTCATTGTTTGATGTTTCTCTAAATGTATTATGTGCTAAATAAAGAAGTTGAATTTCACATAATTTTTTCAATATTATTAATTCTTTTGTTGATTTAATTAATATTTTATAATGAAATTCAAAATAACTTGATTTTGATTATTTTAATAAAGAAAAATATTTTTGAATTGATTTATTCTACAAAAATTTCGAAATATTTCCAAATTAATATTATTATCAATAGTAATATGAACTTCAAATATATCATGAATAATATTTGTTGGTACAAGTTTATTTATTATTGTTTTCATGTAATCAATAACAAAATCCATATTTTTCTTATTATTTATATAGATATCTTTTATTTGAAATAGTATATATGATATTCGTTTTAAAATTATGTATTGAAACAGTAATATTCCAAATATAATATGAATAAATATCTTCATAGTTAGTTTTTTGCATATATATTTGTATTTTTGTGATAACAAAATATATTTTAAATAAGTGAATTATACCAACAAAACTTCTAACTTCTACATATTATAAAAGATAACGATTATATTTAACTATGATAAAAATGATATTCCTTTTCTTTATATATGTAAAAGAAAGATAATAGTTTAAATATCATTTTTTTTTCTTTTTGACTTAGAATATTAGTTGTTGACTATATATAAAATAAGGCGAACTTATTAAAGATCTTTGTATTGATTTAGTTTGATTAATAATAAATTAATGGCTACGCCAACTCTCTTCAACTTACGCACATCCACATCCACCTGTCGCTGTATAATCTTTTTTTTCAAAAAAGAGAATAATAAAGTTCCCATTTATTTGTTATAGTTAAATATATAGAACAGTTTAAAGTCAAAATGACGTCCAGATTTGTTATTTATTCAAAGATTTTAGTCTGTAGAATAGTTTAACATGTGATACCTCCATGATAAGAAGATAAATATTACTTGGTATAAAAAGACAGAAAAATATAGTTGTTTTAAAAAGTATATTTTGGTTGACAATTATTTCAAGTGAGATGCTTCTCTACATATTTATAGTCCAACTGTTAATTCTTTCATTGAATGCTTCAATAAATGAACAACGTTTTCCAACATTGTGGTTTGAAGCTCCTTCTTCAATTTCTGATTATCCACTGGTAAATAATTGTTCATCATCGTCGATAATGAACAATACTTCATGTCGATTAATTGATCCTTGGTTATATTTGGATAGACTTGGTTTGTATAAGATTTTAATTCAATCAACAACACATTTAATGAAAACATGTTCAACATCAGCATTATTCGATGGATGTAATATTTTAGTTGGTCTTGCTGCACAATTAGGATGGCAATTTGATTCCAACAGATTATTTTCAAATGGAACTCGAGAGATATCAATTAATAGTTGGTGGGGATCATATAATTATTATTTATCAGTTATTCCTTTTCTTGCTGCTGTTGATAAAGGAATTATTCATGGAGACTTATTTCAAATCGTTAAACGTGATAATTTTTGTTCGAATTCTAGTGAATGTTTTAATCAAGTCGAAGGACCCATGATTGAATGGAGTCTTTTCTTTGATCGTCTTTTACATCCTGGCAATTGCAGTTTTACTGATTTAAATTATATGCATGATCGTTGTTATTTAGGCCCAATGTGGAGAGCTCATACGAATTCAACTATAAATGCTCTTCCAATTATTGAATCTAAACTCTCTGTATTACCATCAAAAAACGAACAACAATTCGGTTTAGGTTGGGTTAATGTTCTTGTTTTAATTGGAATGGCACGAAGAAATACAAATTTAGTAGATATGAATAATTGTCAAGACCTATATCTTCCTAAACGAATTTTAAGAGACAATGATAGACCACCACGTATTACAGATTTACCTGAAACAGTTAATTTAGCTTTGCAGCTTTTGCTTTCAATTACAATTGATTCGTATCCTGAACTGGTAGACGATTGGGTTGAAGCAACATGTAGTTATAAAGCACGGAAAGATGCACGAGTTGCAATATATATAGTACCAGTGAACAAAATAGTTGCAGCAGCATTTGTTGTATCGGCTGAAGCTGAAATACTTATATATGGTTGCGACGACGAATGAATTTTTAAGTATATCAATCTTTTTTTTTTAATTGACAAATAAACGACTTCTATAAAACATTCATTCAATAAAGTCAAAATAAATATTGAGAATGGATATGGGTAGAAGGTCAACAAAAACCCACATTCTCACTCAGATCTTGAGGGTGGGTGTGCACGGGTGTGCACGAGTGTGACTGATGAATGAGATGAGTAGCCACATCGGCCCATAAGATATTGTTGTTAGAAAAAGTATTAAAATTATATTCCAAACTTTGAAGTCTGATTATAATATCCAATCAATTTAACATTTAATGGTGATCTTACATCTAGATAGATAAATGCTAGGATCGACTTCTCTGAGTTAACTCTTGCTCACTATAAGCCAAACGTGACATATTTTTGCTTTGTTATGAGATGTTTCTTAACTGTCACCTCAATAGTTTTCGTTACAGGGATTATTTCTGGCTACAAAGAATTTATTTTTCTATTAATATTTTTATTCGTAGCATTTATTGCAAATACATAGTGTTTATAAGAGAGATCTCATTAGATCATAACCAGAAAGTAATGTTCTTTGATTTATTTTTGAATTCGAAGTGTAAAAATAAAACGACCATAAGATTAATCAATTTTTTCTTCTACCCGGATACTGTTTGTTAAATAGAAACGAAAATCTCTCTTGGACGCCAAGCATTTTATCAAGCAATGGTCGGAAAAAGTCTATGTCGCTTGATGTCGTTTGTTTCTCTTCATTAGCTACAATGATTTGGAGTGAAGTTTTAATCGATGAAAGAACAAGATTAAAATCTAAGAGAAGATTGTATATATCGCCGTATTGCAATTCGTTTTCGTCTTCCAGTAACTGTTCTGAACCATGATTAAAAAAATCCAATGCGTAACTATTGAGATAATACATCGAATTGGTGTGATCACGACAATCCAGATCGGCAAATGGAACAGTTCGTGTTGATAAGTCGAGATTGAAAGCAAGATCCCATGAACCAACAACTGAATTATAGTTCGACATATATTTTTCATGTGTGAGACCCGATGGACCGGCAAATGGCGATATTGAAGGATTCTGAGTTTGTTGTGAGCGATGATGATGAAGATCGTACTCGAATGTTCCATTATCGTAAACAGCCTGATCAGTAAATGAAATATTGGAGAAAGGTAAAACATATTCTTGGCCACTAGCAAACGAACGCATTCGTCGGGTCACATTTTCAATGTAGAAACCATAAACATCTTTCACAATAGAATTATACAATTCAACTCGAACTCGAAAATCTCTTGATATCGGTGGTAAGAATAATCTTGAATTGAACATTTCTTCTCGTCTTGCTAATGAGAGAGTTTCGAATTGTTTGTGCGTTATTAACCTATACGTCAAAGATTGATTTGACAAATAGAAAGAAGAGATCAAACAGAGAATCACTTACCAAGGCTTCTTTGTAAAAACATATGCAAGTATGATAACAATTTCACTATAATCACTTATTTCGTGAAAAAGTCTGGTATCCATTAGATGAACAAGCAAAATGTTTGCTGGTTCGAAGTAGTGTAAATGGGTTGAAAGTCCCGCAAGACCGATTAAAGCCCCATTCGCATTGACTAAATTGAGTCGATGAAGAAAGTCAAGTGTATGTAAACAATGAAAACGAATTTGAATATCAACTAAAACATGTTTACTAGCTGATTGAAGAATAAATGGACACTCGAGTGCAACCAATGATCGATTAATAGCATCTTTGGAATCTTGTGCACATGAGCATAATTGAAGAAGACGCATGAGAAATGTCACTGACGATGGAAAGTGTGCTTCAATATTAGGTATGACTGAGATGGTTAAATGACGAATTTTCGAAAGAGGAATATCAATAAAGACTACATGTCCTTCGATATCGAAACCACGACGACCAGCACGACCCGACGATTGCCGATATTGAAGAGCGTCGAGAAAAATTGAATCTCGAAGAAAAGCGACGGTTTTTGTTGGCATGTGAATACCCATTGCTAAAAACAGAAGATTATCAAGAGAATTGTCAGAATTGAACTGTCCTACCGAGTGTTGATGTAGAGAAAACAATTTGAATGTATCGATTACGAAAGAGTGCTTCGACAGCTACTCGACCTTTATTATTCAGCCCAGCATGATGATAGGCAACGCCCCTTCTCATCAATCTGACTAACATTGAATTGTCAATTTCAGCTCGTGTCAATAATGGTTCGACTAATTCTTCATCGTATCTATGTCGATTGGCCAATGTTCCTTCCTCCAATATCCCATAAAGTAAAGCTTTTTCATGTCCGGACAATTGTGTTCCACTAATAATATCATTAAGCATCATTTGTTTCTCATAGATATTATTACCACTATCAGTGTGCTCCGCATTATTCGCTCTTCGTTTACCTGACGATGTTTTTTTCATACTCTTGATCAAAGCAAGATTCATTTTTTCATCTTTTTTAATCTGTTGTAATCGTAGTTTAACTTGATCAATCTGCTTTTTGTACTTTGTTTCTCGCAACTCACGTTCAATCTTGACAAAATAAGCCGCTACCGTTTCAGCCATCGTTTCACATATCGATCGACTATCCGAAAATACAATACATGGTAGAAGGTTTTTTTCTTTTAATGTTAATACAAATTCGACGATGAGAGATGACATTGGTTTTATTTCGGGATATTTAATATTACTTAAATCGGCAGTATGAATTGATGTTGTAATAGCATCAATGGCAGAATTTTGTTTTTTTATAATTAAACGATTGAGTTGATTACAGACAAGACGTGAATAATGATTGCACGCATTTCGTTCGATGATCCAAGCAGGTGAAAAATATTCAGTTAAAGTCAATACAGGTTTATATTCGACATCGTCGCTTACAATATCCCTAAATGTTAGAAAAACGTTCAGATTCATTATCGAACTGTGTATGAGGATGGCTTAAGAAATGCACTTACTTATTACTAGTTATTGTTTTTTGCATTGCATCATTGAGTCGTACAGTCTCAGAAGGTGACATAAAAAAATCTTTCGGTAAGCTTCGATTTATCAATTGTTCCGCATTCATAAGACCTATCGGATGAATAGGATGCAATTGTCGTTCTGCATACAAATACTTATTCAAATCAGCTATACGCCCGTAGTGCGCAATGAAACATACGGAACGCGGTGTTGACATTTGAAATAGAGTAGCTCGTCGTTGCTCGATACTTTCTATCCATTGCCGTATTTCATCACCATTGTTCACTGTAGCTGATAGGCCAATCATGGGACAGTTGATGAGTAACATTGTTCGTTCCCACACGTCCGAACCAAGTTCACCGGACATACAATGAATTTCATCAAAGATCGCATATTGAATTCGTTTACACCAACGTTGATAAGTTGGAGAGATGAGAAGAATTTCAAAACATTGTGGTACGGTTACTAAGATGCGACATGTTCTCATGTTCATACGAAAATCTCGTGTAAAAATGCCAAATACAGTACCAAATTTAGAATAGATCGTAGCTGAAAAATAGTATGCCTGGATGAGCTTCACATTAAGGTTGAGAAAAGATTGACTTACCAGCAACTTGATTTACAAGTGCTTTGGTCGGTGCTACATATACGCAGATCGCATCTTTTTTTTCCAATACTTTGCTCATGGCATAGTAAGATGCATATGTTTTACCTATATTTAAATAACAACATAAGAGCAAGAAAATGAATTAAACTCACCCGAAGCAGTTGGTGCTATGATAATAATCGATTGCTGTTTATCAACAGCATCAAGAAACTCGATTTGCCATTTGTCCGGAATGAAATCGGGTGTTCTGCTATCAGCCACGCCTTGTTCACATCGTGGCAATCGGCTGTTGACCTTTTCAAGTTGAAATCGATACCATTTTTCTCTATCCAATTTTGGATCATTTACAAGCTCTTCCATGTATATTTTCTTTTCATTAAACACATCAACAACATTTTCCAGATGAGTAATTTCAGCCATTGTAGCAAAATAATTTATTTCGAGTGAATCCAGTTTTGATCGATCTTCGTTCGTCAAAACAATTTGATTTCGGAGTATATTTAAATACTTTCGTTGTAAATCGAATTTTTGCTTAAGTAACTTCAGACGATTTACCGATGTTTTAAAAAATATCACATGTCTATCGATGAACTCGATCGCTTCAAGAATATTATCGCGTGGAATCTGTTGCAGTCGAGTTTCTATATTTGTGAACTTGTCCGTTTCCTCAGCAGTAAGTTTGTCGATCTGGCGTTTTTTATTTTCTTCTATAATCTTTTGAGCCTTGGTTTGATGAATCTCTTTCGATTGTTTTTTCTTCTTACCATTAGCATTTATGGTAGCAACTGAAGTTTCTTCGCTTGTTGATGTTGGAATCGAAGCAGTTGGAAGGGTGATCTGCATTTGACTGTCTTTTATGTCTCGGCTCGTGAGTGATTTACCGTACAGAGTAAAATACTCGTAGCTAAAGATAAATAAAGTCTTCTATTGATGAAAATGTTTTATCGAAATTAGATTTCAAGAATCGTAACAAAAATGTTACTCTATCTAGTTAAAATTTCAGATCTAGGCTAATTATTCTATTGATATCTCTTTTGATTTTTATCGCATTCATAGTCTGCATAAAATTTAATTAAAAAATATAGGATTAAACTTTGTCTCTATTGTTACACATTCTGTAAATTTTGATCTTAACTCAGTAGACCTTTAAGTCTATTTTTATTCGATATTTGTTTACCTATATGTAGCGCAGAGGTATCATTAATGAATTACTATTCGGGAGCGATTCTAAAGGAGAAAATGCATCAGAGGTAAAACTTACAATTTCTGATGACTTCTTGTTCGGTATTTATAATTGCGAACGTTTTTATTTTCTCGATCATTGTCTTTTATACGGCTGACTGGATCACCTACCTAGATTTAAAAAGAAAACATAGGTGTATAATGAATTAACTTTCGAAGAATAACGCAAGAAACTTACTTCTTTGTATACATGCCAATGATGCTTTCCTAACAATTATTGTTGTCTTTAGTTTAAAGGAAAAAACAGAAAAGAACTGACCTTGATATTGTGCCCGGCTGCAATCATTCGAATCGATGAAATCAATTGAGAATTCGTCGTTCTTTGATGAAATAATCGGTTTTAAAAAAGTGTCGATAAATGGATTGGAGATTTTGACTATTTGTTGATGTTGTTCTTTACTCGTTGTCACTTGTTTAGCCAATTGTGATGATGATGATGATGACATATAAATAATGTTCTTTGATAGAATTATTTGTTCAAATGGATTTACAAATTCATTTTTGTTCGAGTATATATTCAATAGGTTTAAACTCTGTTTCATCATGTCAAATGTGCATGAATCAAAACGAAGATTCGATGAAGATTCATTTATCTGTTTTAAAGTAAAAGCAAATAGACGTCCATCAAACAAATCGGTTATTTTGACCCATGAGAGAGTTGAACAATTTGCTAACATAGATAATGAGAGACGCAATTGAAATTGGCAAATAAGTTCAGAGAACATCGGATTAAAAGAGTCCGAAGTAAATGATGATGGAAGATGACGATCAACTAAAGATAGACGAATAAGAAGACCGACATGAAGAAGAAGTAAAGGAATTAAAAGATTAAGTAATTGTACTTCTTTCTGCTCCTAAAATAAAGAGAAACAGAATGATTAGTTGAATGATGAGACAAATCGAATACCTTTTTTTCTTTCATCAAATGCATGATCGATTTAAGATAAAGAAAAAGACGCACATCACCTTGAGCTGTTTCATGGCACAATTTTTCTAATGACAGTCGATCCTTTTTTTCGATCGTAGTCGAAGTGAATTTGAATGGTACTCTCTGTAAAACTTTTCTGAACAGGTGCATTGGACATGGTCGTATAAAATCGATTTTAAAACATTGAACTAATGTATCGGTTAACATCAATTTGTTCATTAAATAGAGATGGCAATCAATAGTATATTGATGATAATTACCGAAGAGACGGTAAACGAAGACAAGTTGTCGAAGGACACTTTCAGATAATAATGGACTAGTTTTATTACTCAGATTTGACATATCACTGTAGAACATGAACATAGGCTTTTCATCTTTAACAAATACAGCATAATCACTGCTAAGCCACGAATCAAATTGACGAACTTTCAATGTACCATATTTATTGACATTCTCACACAGGTGTGTAATTAAACAAGAACGAAGAAGATCAAGAATTGGTGTTTGATATTGATAAATTTGATAATGGCAATCGAAAAAGACAAGTGTATAATTGCATTGATGTGCTTGATTGAAAAGTGTCAGAAGAATACGTTCAATTAGAAAAATAAGATGAATTGTATTACCATGAAATGAGACAAGATCAATATTGATATGATGAGCCATGGATAAAAGAAACGAGTCACCATCAATAAAATAATGCGTGCTATCACGAAATTCACGACGAACATCGAGAAAACAAGAAAAATAGGGATAAATGATTTCAATATTGTTTCCAGAGATCGTCATCATATCATTATCAGTCCGGGTAGGCGAAAGAAGTAATTTAATAGTAGCCAAAATAGGTTTATGTGTTTCTGAAATAGTTCCAGATGGCATATTTGATAGAAGAGATTTTATTAGATTAATATGTTTATTTTGTATATTATCCATATCTTCGGATAAATGAAATAGAATTTGTTGTAAAGCAGCCGTAACCACTTTCTCATTTTCACTTTCAACACATTGCTTTAGTGTTCGAAAATAGAGATCACTCATGTGACTGGTGTGTCGTTGACTATATTGAAGAAATTGAAGAAGTCGTTCACATTGACCAACGATGTTGATATAAGCATTGAATTGTGGCGCTGATGAGATTGCCTTTTAAAGAAACGTAGAAACAAAAATTCAGTCACCGAACTATACACTAAAAGTTAGAAAGGATAAATTATCTTTCTCTCAGTATACTTTGGTATTCTTTTACAATCGCTTTTAGAAAATCCATTCTGAATGTTTTCATATAATTTTTGATTACCTATAGTAAATCGTACTGCTCTAAGAAACTTCATTTCAAAAGCTGAGCGTGTTCCTGTTTTACTTGAATACTAACTTTTTCTATTGGTACTGGTTTCTTTTGTTCGTCCTCGGACGATGATTCTTCTTCTGAACTGGTTTCCGACGATTCGGCAAAACCATCATTTTTTATTGTATTATCAGCAGCTGCGCTTTGCTCAGCTCGATTAATGTTTCGCCATAGTTGCAGCTTTTCATTAACAACTTGTTCAAAATCGTTTCGATAGCGTAAATGAAAAAGTTCGTTATTTTTCTTAATATCTTGATTGAATACAATGTTTGATGTTGTTTCCGTATCGAGCAAATAATCAACAAATTTTTGAATGCGATCACTCATATTTCTTTTCCTGAATTTGTCAACGGGTGTGCGAGTTGAAGAAAAAGTCAGTTAATGCTGATAGATCTTGGAGAGATAGTAATCACTCACTTATGCAGTTATCTTGAAGTATTTGTGTTTCAGTATCTGAAATTGAGCAAAGCAAAAATGTACATTGAAAAATTTCTTCAAAAGATTTGCATACAAAAACTTAGAAAAAGAAACTTTCAACACTATACTGATGAGTGTTCTGAAAAGAAATACTAATTTAAGATGCTAACAAAACTATAGAGTGGTTTAAATATGCGCGTACAACGACAGGAGCTTTCGTCAGTGGCATATCACGTAAACTAGCCATGTTTCTTGCTGAATTTCAGAATTTTCAGTCCGAAGCATTTGACTAAAATTTTTCTTTCAAATACCAAGAATAGGTTTCTCATGCAACGACAAAAATTCTTTTCTAATTTTGATCAAATTGTGAGCTCTCAATTGGAAGTGTTGGATATAAGAGAGACTACGAGAAAAAGTGTATTTTTTTTCAATCATAGAAAACAAACTAACAAGCGAATGTCGCCTTTCTCATATGCAAGAAAAGAAAAAAGAAAGAAAGCGTGAATAACGCGATCGTTAACGCAAATGAAAATGGATTCGATCTGTTTCCAGTATTTTAAATTCAAATGAGATATAATGTCTGAGAACTCGTACGAGCTGCATCAAATTATTACATAATAATGAGCAGAGGATTTCAGACAGAGACACGTCGTCTCGGACTACACTACTTTTATGAAGTAGAGAGGGTATGAGTGTGAGCATTATCGTAAGTAATGAATGCAATATCCATATATAACCATCCACAATCCTACACCCGAATTTTTCTATATGATAATACTCAAAACTAAATCGAATTCGATCGTAACTTTTGCAAAATTGAAGACACCCATTGACTCGTCTCTACAAAAGATAATCAACTAATAAATATACTAGTATTTAAAAGTCAAGCCTATTTAAATATTATTCAGTTACTTAATCTTTCTGCATAAGTCTGACCAAGTAGCTACGTCTAATTCAAGACACTAACTAATAATTTCAAGTAAAAGGTTTAAAATGTTTGGAATGACAACTGTGTCCAGCATCCTAGCTACAAGCACTAAATAAATGTTCTAAAATTAATTAGTAAATACAGTTAGTTAGTTATAGAAAGATATAAACTAACACCGACTCAATGATTTAAATATCAAAAAAAAATTTATTTTTGAACTATAGAATTTTGTCACCTCCAAGTTAATAGTTTTGAGTTCTGAAAACAAGTAAATACCACCGAAAAAATCTGATCTCAAATACTGCTCTCATATTTCGTTGATTCTCGGTGCTTTTCACTCAAAACCAGTCCGTACGTCTCCATCTGAGTAGCTGTGGTTGTATTTTAATCGTTCTAGAATGTAAATAGCTACAATATTTGAATGAAACAAAAAAAACTGAAAGTTTGTTACCGATAAATAAACTATTTGAAGTATTGTGTTATTGTATATGATTAGAAAAAGTATCGGTTGGGAAGTTACGCTCACATACATGCGACACGTTTTATTTACTTGACTGACTCTACTGCTCGTAACGTTTGTTTTGATTTTGTTATTTTTCTTCGTTTTTCTTTTTCTTTCCTTTCCTTTTCTTTTTTCTTCGATCCCTGTTGTATTACGTTACCATACAACACGCGCTTCTGCTTCAATCACGCACATCTAGTATCATTAGAAAACGATTAGTATCGTTGTTCTCTCTTGAGAAATGTAAATCATCTAGAGAGTTTTATTATTTTAATAGAGATAAGGAAATTTCCGATCATATACGATCATTTTCAATCTACAAGTGGTATTACAAACAAAAATAAACTGTTGAACGTACATCCCATTCATAACCACATCCACCCTTAAGGGAGAGATGTCTACAGTTCGTATGTCATTACAGTAGAAGAAATAAATAATGAATAAACAATTGAAACTGGGAGGGTGGGTGGGTGTGGGATGACTAAAATACTCACATACACTCTCACTAGATCGCGAATTCTTCGTGCATTAAAAATCATCAAAACACCAAAGTAGCACGCAACAATAGGACAGAAAAGTTGAACAAAAATAAAGTATTCGTATGAAAAAAAAATTGAAATAAGTGCGCAATCATTTTAATCAAATTAATAAAATATAATAGCACATATGATGACCTTTTCAGGTATTGATAAAATGTGGTTGTTAATGCCTCATGCATTTCTAACACCCTCACTCACCTGCAAAATAAAAATTATTTCGACATGATTCCAAACAAACTGCTGATATATTCTGGTCAAAATATATCTGAAGACAAAATCGAGTAACTCAAATTAATACACAAATTGTTACATTCACAAAGCATCGTGATACTGTGCTTCCAAAATCAACTGTTCAGTTTATGATTGAGCAAATTACCATTGTTGTTTATTTAATTCCAACAAATTTCATATAATATATAGCGTAGAAAGAAATGAATCAATAGAAATTTTTTTATCAAGAGTAAGTAAAAGAAAGTGTAGCTATGATATTTGTTCAAGTATAGATAATATTACACGTCTCCTCGTTGTCTTTTTCTTGTTGAAGTTCTTCTAAATCTGTACCTAACGAACAACATTTTGGATTATCACATACATGTGATTTGTACCACCATTGTGAGTCGGATAATAAACCCGGATGATTGTCTGTAACACGCACCATTAGACCTGTACAAACAATAGTAGAATTTGGATCATTAAAATCCATCATAGGTTTTCCTTGTGCATCAATAAGCCATTCAATAACGTCATTATTGAAATTGGGATCAATGATTATATCATGAGCCGCAATCGTTTCTTGAGCAATCTTTATTATGTTATCCGGATGTACACGGCATTGTAAAACAAATTGAACATATTTACCATCCTTAAAAAATGTACTTTCACCCTTTGATTCGATTTTTTTTATTTCAGAATACCTTGGATGAGCTGTATAGATAATTGATGGACTAGCGTATATACCACCACCATGTACGGCTATATTTGCTGGTTTCAGACCACTAAGTAATATAGATAGACCGTA